GTGGAGATGTGCCACCAGAATTTTATGTGATTATGGCATACAAATGAAGCTGAAGGGCAAAAGTTCTATAGGACAACTGTGAGACCAGGTTTGCTCTTCGGGGTGGAATGCTGGGTGGTAAAAAGACAATATGAGTGTAGCGGAGATGAGGATGTTGAGATGGATGAGTGGTAAGACAAAAAGGGATAGAATGCGAAATGAATACATTTAGGAAAATTTAAATGTGGTACCAATAGGCGATAAGATGAGAGAGAGTAGACTTAGGCGGGCTGGCCATGTATAGCGCAATCCAGTACAACACCTGTTAAGAGTGCGAGTTAGTTCAAGTGGAAGGCTCAACAAGGGTAGGCCCAAAAGGACATGGTTGGAAGTAGTGAGAAAATATATGGAGACTTATGGCCTCATTGTGGGTATGGCCCTTAATAGAGCATAATGACGGACCACGACTCGTATAGCCGACCCAATTATTTAGAAAAAGGCTTTGATGACAATGATGATGATTGAAAGTCATTCTGGTTTCGAGCCAATTTTTTGATGGTGATATAGTTGTTTCTTTTGATTTCAATGAAAGTTCGTTCGTTAATGTAATTATTTACTAATACAACTCTCTCTCTCTCTCTCTCTCTCACACACACACACACACACACACACACACACAGATCAATGCTACATTGTTTCTATGGGCTATCTCCGGTATGATACAAACCATATGGTCATCATATGACTCCACACTTATGAGATTAGCAATTGTCTATGATGGTGATAGAAGAGAGAATATGGATGTAAAATTCACTTAATTAAATATATGGTGGTATTCACTCCCCTTCATCATCGTCCAACCCATTGATTGCACAATAATGCCGTACCTAATATGGTTGTGACTTGTGACTATGATCGTTTGACTCATACAAGATAATTGCCCTATATATTTATAATATTTATAAAGTATCAAGTTCCATCCTTTGAACCTCTCTCAAGGTTCCCAACATTGCACAATTCCTGCAAGCCATTTTCATTTTTTTTTCTTTAAGAGTAACAAATTTTATTGATTCAAAGTATCAATTACAATGATAACAACCTGCAAGCCATTTTCAGTAGCCCACATAGTCATCGTAATTCCAAGACCATGAAGTCAACATCAATTAAAACTCTTGAGTGTAATTTTTAGGACCCACAAAACCTAAGAAAAGAAAGGGGAAAAAAATCATATACGATCTTTAGGTGCCAGAAAAAGTTAAGTTGAGAAGTATTTGTCAAACATAGCTAATAAAGAAAGATAGACAATTAACTTCTAAGATTTGAATGTTTAGATTAAAATTTTCAAATCTTTTACAATTAGAAACCTTATTTTCTAATTTCTTTACATGGAGAAGTAACTATCCCAATTCCCCATTCTATCACCATAAATGTCTTATAGAGTAAATAGAACATATCAAAAGCTTTTACAAGGAAATTTTGGAAAATCTTTTCACTTATAGATAATTAGTTTCAATCAATGTTTCAAAACCCAACAATCTGGATCGGAAATTGCCAATCAGGACTGGGAATCAACTAGGATCGAACCGGTTCTAAAAAAAATATCAATACTAGCCCAGTCATTCCCCTAAAACTCTATTATCATATTTCTTCTCTTTTTTTAAGGTTGTATAATGTTCTCTTAGGTCCCCCCATAAAGTCCTATTTTATTTTAATTTTTTATTTTTAATATTTTCCGCGTTGCCGTTTGGACTAATGCGACACAGGTCTATGGGGTGAACGATCCATTGGACTGATCCGGGTTTTGAAATTTTGTTTTCAATAATATAATTAAAATAATTAAAAAAATAACTTATTCATAAAATAATGTAATAAAAGTAAAATAATTTTTCATAACTAAAGATGGTTTTAAATAATAAAATCTGAATATTATATGTTAAAATAAAAATTGGAAAATCTTTTGACTCAAAGTAATAGTTTTTGGGAATGCTTTTTTTTTTTTTTGAAGAAAGAAGTTTGCTCGACTACAAATGGTTTTGAAAATGCACAAATTCAAATTATATGACTGAATTAAATATGGGGATTTACGGCCTCACTGAGGATATGGCCTTTAATAGAGCAGAATGGAGAACCAGGATTCATGTAGCCGGCCCCAATTAATTGAGAAAAGGCTAAAATGATGATGATGATGAATTAAATAATATGAAATTTACTACTATTTTATCGCGGTGAAATTAGATACTTTATTAATACAAGATTATAATATTTTAGTGGCTCACCTTTTAAGTAAAAATTCGATTCTCAAAACTAATAGCAATAATAGCCCCTTTTAAATTCAATAAGTAAAACTTATAATCCTTATATAATTTTGATTATTTCCAATTAGTGTATGAGAAATTAAATTAAAACAACAGTAACACCCAATTTTTAAACAAAAACAATAATAGTGAGCTTTCTTAGATTCTAATTTTTAGTATTATAATTTTTGGAATCCAAAAAAATTATTAAAAATAAAAAATTAGTATTTTATAATTATATTTGTAAGGTGATTCTGATTGGTAATTAAGATTTAAAGACAAGGTTTCCATGAGTCCTAAGACTCACATGTAGATATGCCGCCACTCTTTTTAATCTATTTTTTAGTTGGACCTAATTTTTTAGATATATCTAGTCTCTAACATAGAGAGGATTAATATGTAAAAAAAAAGAGAGCTAAAATATTTTTTTTTTTTGGAGAAAATTTTTGAACCATTAGATTTTATTCTTTTAGGAAGGACCACAACCTTACATCCGTCTTAAATATGGATGTGTGATACCTTCGGGGACGCAAATGTTGAAATGGATCCCCATACTCACAGACTACTTTTCGTTTAGTGACTCACTTTTTTAGTTTTTGCTTCTTTATTTTCATAATACAGGTGCCAATATTGACACAAGTACTAATTTGATCATGTAAAATAATTGAAAATGTGCATGAGGCAACTTTCAATCCAACTTAAATTTAGTGTTTACTAATTAAATTTTTAATAATGTGATTTCTTTAATTAATAAAATAAATTTGCAAATGTAAAATTTTCTTTTTTAAATTCTTAGTTTGGTCGTACATTGAGCAAATTACCAGTCCCAATCAGGGCTCTTTTACCCATTGGGGGAAAGAGAGATGTAAAATATGGTTAGATATTCTAAAATATACTATAGTTATATAGAATTTATTCAACGTCAAATTCTCATGTCAGGCGCTATGACATCTTACCTAAATGTGATATTATCACTAGCAATAATAATATATTTTATTATAACCTACGAGAATAATATATCACAGGACAACTAATCATTAGATGGCAATTAATACACCGAAAGAGTGGCCTAACCATTAAATACACCGAAGGCCAAATCATCGAAGCTATTCTAAGATGACACTTAGTTTCCCAAGCAAACTCTCCTTTTATATCTGACTATAGATATTGCATTATACTGATCTACTAAGCCATCTATCTTAATTTTTATAGAGTACACCAACTTGCAACCTGCAGCTCACTAAACCAAAGCAAAAGGGACAATGTCGCAGGTTCTGTTTTGGTTGGAAGCGTCAATTGCTTCATTCATTGCTTGCTGCGAACAAGATTGGGAAGAGGCCTCAGAATAGGAGGAATGTATTTCTCTTTTTTTTTTTTCCCCTGAATGAATGGCTATAACAGAAGATGCAGAATAGTAGGGGCAAGGACCAAGGTAAGTAGGTTGGTCACCCTTATTGGCATAAGTGAGACAAGTGCGAATCTTGTAACGATTCAGTTGTTTGAGATGAATATATACTTGGAACAGGTGATGCCAAAATAGTAGTGCATGGAAGACAAGTATTTTCCTGAGACCAAGCATTTCCATGAGAATTTTGATTAGAAGGTGAAGAAGGATATCAATGGGAACTAGGATTTCTATATGTTTAAAATGACTAGATAGGACTGCACATCTCTTTTTGTCTTAAGACAGTAAAAGAATGTTTTTTAAAAAGGTTAAAATTTTGAGAAATAAAAATTTTTCAACTAGATGGATCATAACAAAGTAAACCCATTTGAAATACATCACGAGGAGTTACAATCTACTTTAGATCAGTCTGTACCTAGGAGGAGAACAAGCACAAGCATCCAAATACCCTAAGTCTAGAATAATCAGATTTGACAGTTAATCTTTCAATAGGAGAAGTTGCTTCATTTCATGATAATGGCATTTCATTAGAAAGATAAATATGAAGTCAAAAGTGCTTCTACACAAAGTTTTAGGAACATTCATTGAAGACAAAAGAGTTGATAAAAGTTTCAACTATGTGGTGATGTTTTTGTTCTGCTAAACCATTTTGTTGAGAAGTACGAGGAAAAAGAATCTATGATAAACAACTCCCTTGGGTTTTTAGATACGCTTGAAAACTACAAGACATACATTCCTCGCTTGAATCTGAGCAAAGAATATTTATTTTTGCAAGTGGTTACTATTTCAGAAAATTTGATTAAAATATGAATAAAACCTAGATATCAAAAAAACAAACAAACTACCGATAACCAGATCCAAAAGATAACATCAAACATCGCAAAAACTACATTCAATGAAGATTAAAAGGGAACACTTTGATATTTTGTCAAACAAACATCCTATATAAGCAAAGGTATGGACGATCTAGCATTCTTAAATTGTGTTCAAAGGCCCATTAAAAATTTCGAGTGACGCAATCGATCTTAATATTTTTTAATACAAAGAGAGAAGTTCTAAAAGAGAATTGCATCCATCATATTTTAGGTTCATCCCATAAAGAACTAACTTTCAAATAATAATCTAAAACAGAAAGATCTCCCAGAATAAGCATATAAATATCGTGTCTGAATTGATAGAAACAGGCTGAATCATCTTGACAGTAAGGATTCTTTAGGTAGACTTCCAAAATAGTAGAAAATGAAGTAATAGAAGATTGAACACGAGATTCAAGCGAACCACATAAGAGAGCAATGGTTATGCAGTAGGAGCTTTCCACTTACCATGTTTTGTTTCAAAAACCTCGTCGTGAGTAATAGGGTACTTATTGATCGGTCAGTATATCAGTGGACCATAAAATTGAGCACAGGCTCAAGCCAAGCTCTTTTGTGAGGTTCAAGAATTATATTAATTGGGCAACCTCGCCTAGTTCATCAATGCTAGGCAGTACTCACTTGACCTAATATAATCAAATAAACAATTTCAAGAAATGACAAACAACAAAAGACAAAACATCATTTAATTGGAAAAACTAACGATGTAGTTGATGGTCAAAGTACCTTAACTTTGAGAGAGAAGCACACATGCCCTCTTCAGCACTCAACAAGCATGTGCTTTGTGATCCAATTGTCCAGGGAAGACCCACCGTGGTTCCACATCCTCACTTATGCAAGCTTCGACCATCTCTGAGGCACAGAACAAAACTAAGGTTAGTTCTTAAATACACAATTAAATCCAAGTGCACTAGCCACACAGAATAGATGGGGGAGTGCTTTAAGGCTTGGCCACTAGGCTTAGTTGTTAGGGCAAAAGGGCCACAACACTAACATCAAAGGTTTAAGTTACCAGCTTACCCACCCAAAACAAAAAATAAAAAAGAAACACAGGGAACTAGCAAAGGATTCAATATACCTCATTTACTAAGAGAGTTTTCATTAACAGCAACAGTTAGGACATGTGTGATGCGGCTTCCAATACTGTAGCACTTCCAGTGTTTCTTAAACTAGAAATGCTACGCTGTTTTGGAAGCCATGCGAAGTGTAAATTCACATTGTTATTTGGAAGCCACAGCTTCCATGTTACCCCATCAAAGTAGAAGAGGCGGCTTTAGCAGCCACCTCTTCCACCAATCAAACACACCCTAAGAGAATAAAATCATTCATAACAGAGGGTACCCTTACCAGTTGATAATTCTCTCCAACATGAGTGTAAGGAAAGTAGTTACCTAGAGACTTCTTTTAGAGTTCATTTTCCGTAGTCAATAGAAATTATAGAATGAAAAAACCAATGGTTAACAATTAAAAAAAAAAGTACGACCATCCTCTACCAAAACTCCAACTTCATGCCCAAAAACATAAAAAGAAAAAAAAAATAGCGACACCAGCCCTTCCTTACCTTGCTCAACTACTACACATCAACTTCCCACATCCATCAGCAGTCGAAGTTTCTTTGTCCAGTCTTGATCACTAACTCTCTCTTTCCTAGTTCTTTTCAGGCTAGGTGTTGATCAATAACTCACCATATAAAGCCAGTCCATCTGAACAAATGATTTGTATCCCACAAGGAAACAACCAACGATTTTGACAATGTGAGATCTAATGCAGCAAACAGAGCTCTAAATATTTTTCATCTTTTTCCCCTTTTGCATGGGTAGTCTTCAATGTCAATTCTCCACACATTGTGGGAATAAAATAATTGGTCTTGAGCCTAACTGCATGATATCGGATCGTTATTTCAAGCTTTTCACTCGGTCTCATTATTTGGGAAAGCAGAAGAAAAGTAGAGAAATCAGGAGCAGGGTTCTTGGTTTGGTGCTTAGGGTGGTTAAACTGCAACTCAACATCAAGGGTTCCAAACACAAATGATGCACAAACTCAACATCCAGATTATCATGTCACCAATATATCAAAGAACAAAGAACTTAAGTATTGAACCGTTACTCAGCTCCCAACACTCGTGGTCCAAATATTGATAACACAAACTTAGGGAAAGAAAACCCCGAATAAAACATGCCATGATTACAAATTTTTCAACAATAATCACCAAGCAATACTCTCAATTCCAAAACAAACCTATCCACCTCTATAATAAAAGATATTAAGACCCTCATCTATTTCCAGAAAGCCCCAAAGTCAAGCTTAATCAAAGATGCAGAAATCATGAGATGACACAAAGCAACTTAAACAGCGCAATGACAAGAATGTCTCAAAAAACTTTCAGATTACAAGCATTTATATTTTGGCCTATTTTGTTTCAAAGAAGCAATTGGGTTTCTGAGTAGAAAATAGACATCCCAGGTAATAAACTACTTCGCTCATAGCTCATTAGAAAAGTTAATACAAATAATGCCATAATGGGGATTGGGACCCTGCCTTTATCAAACCTCTTTATCAATAGCGAGTATTTTGGACTCTCTCTCTCTCTCTCATACACACAAACAGAAACACACAAAATAAGTGCACTAAACAGGAACAAGGGTCATTGCATATTGTGCCAAAATATATCCTACAAAAACACTGAAGAGATTATTGAGAACACAAATTATGCATAAAAAACAAGATGTCAAAAAAAAGGGCCAAGAGGCTCATTGCAATTCTTGAAGTCAGAGAGCCATGCAATTTTGCAACAAGGACATAAGCAAAATGTTAAACTACCTTGCCCACAACAATGTTTTAAAAAGCAGAATGTTCAGAAAAATAAAAGAGATGAATTATAAAAGGTTGGACCTTCAATATAAGGTCAAAGGCATAAATTCATAAAATCAACCCACAATCAATGGCCCAATCCACTTGCAAACAACTTTTTTTTTTTTTTTTTTTTTGGGGAGGCAAGGGAGGGGGTGGGTTTTGTTTGGGTTGCTGGAATAGCCAGCAAACAACCAAGACTGCTCCTCCAAAATACAAGCATTGAAACCAGGTTGGTTAGAAAAAAAATGCACAGGGCTCCAAAAGGACAACGGATGGACCATGAACAAAATCAGAACTTTTCATAATTCATAACAATGAGAAGAGCAAAAGGGGGGTTAACTGAAAACAAGTCATTTCTAATGTATAAGGATTTGCGGATCAAAAAAGGGAAAATACAAGAAAGTTATCAATCTGATGGGTTGAAGTTTGTTTTACAGGAAAAACTGCATGAAACTTGCAGACAGGAATGAGCTTCTAACTTTCCTTCGCCCCATTAGACCCTCCAGTCAATTTGGTACGGCAAGAGCGGTGCTTCACATCCCCACGTCTTTTGGTGGATCGTTCACAAAAATCCTCCGGCTTTAATGCGGCAGGATCAAGCTCCCAAGAGCCTTTTGCCGTGCCATGTTTTTCAAAACTAAGCCTAAAAGCCGGGATTTGGTGAGAGAATCTCAACAATGCCTCTCGTGGCAATGGCAAAACTGCCTCCACTGCACCATTCTTCCGAGGCTTATACACAGTACGGAACCCTGACACCTTATCCAAGAACATGACCTTGGCACCCAACTCAGCAGAGAAATCATTTAGCAGCTCAACTGCCTCACACTCATAATGCTTATACTCTAATTGTGTCCAACCAATGCTCCAATTCTTATATAACGCCCAAAGCTCTCCTTTTTGGGGGTATATTTGATATGACGACCTATCGCCAGTTGGCTTGAATATTACCTGATGTGAGAATGGAGACATCCCACTTAGAGTGTCAGTTTTACCCATCCTAAATTTTCCACAAACGATAGGCAATTTGTGATTCAACCATCGTGCCTCCTTGTCGTTAGATGGGAAAGGCTCAAGCCAAGTCACCTTCACTCTGAGTTCGTCAGCATGCTTTACTTTATTTATTCGGGCATAGAACCGAGGCAGGCCATCCCTTTCATCATATAAGGCCCAAATCTGTTCGGGCTTGAGAAACTCTGGTGTTTTACGGCTATCAAAGTCATGGAACTCTGGATCTGGATATTCCATGACATCGGCATCGGGGGGCACAGATGTGGACGGTCTACGAAAAAGAGAGACACCATCATCCTTGGATTCATCTTTCACTGTGCATTTACTAGGAATCGTCTCCATGGGCTTCTTGTTTGAGGTCCCATTTATCCCATTCCAAACTTGTTCCTTGCTTTCCACGTCTGGGGTATCTTGAATTATAACACTTGGAGAAGGGCCAAATCTAGCACTTCTCCTTGGGGTCAAGGGGCTCTCAGGTCCTCCCACCATTTTTTCTTTTCCTGAGGCATTTCTTGGAGAGGAACCTGTATGGTTACTACCCACCTTCTTTACTGGAGTTTCAGGCAAGACCAGATCCTTTACATCCGAAGGTAGAGAAGCAGGGTCAAGCTCCATAGATCCCTGTGGTATACCATCCCTCTCATCCCCTCTCATACGATACGCTGGCACCTGATGTGAGAATCTAAACATCTGATCCCTTGTTATTTGAAAAGTGACTTCCTTACCCTTCTTAGCCAACCTATGGAACAAGGTTCGGAAGCCATTAACTTGAACCAGATAAACCACTGTTGCACCTGTACTCTCCACAAAATCACTTGTCACCTCCACTACCTCATATTTGTGTTTCTTATGCTTATCTGGATCTGATTTCCAATTAATGTCCCAGTCCTTGAACAGGGCCCAAACATCTCCTTTCAAAGGGTATATCCTCAATGACCGAGAGACTTTCCTGAATGAGACCAGGTGAGAAAACATGAGGCGGTCTTCAGAGAAATCATATGCCCCAGACTTAAAGCCCCCACAAGCAACAGGCAATTCCTCCTCCGCCCACTCAATCTCCTCATTGCGAGTAGGTGAAGGCTCGAACCACAAAATACGCAGCTTGAACGGCAAAGAGAAAACTTTGATTATCCGAGCATAATAACGAGGCATTCCATCATGGTTATCATAAATAGCCCAGACCTGCTCAGGTTTGAAGTGCTCCTCCTTCCTTTCTTCATCAAAGTCATGGAATTCCGGTTCCTGGTATTCAAGGGTCTCAGGGGCCACTTGCCCATCACTCTCATTATCCACCCCATCAGAAGGCTCACTACAATTGCTCCTATCTTTTGAATTTTCCTCCACTTCATCACTAGCCTCCATTTCTTCCTTTCCATTCTGTTCAATTTCTTCTTTAACTACACTACCATTCTTCTTTGCATCTCTCTTAGCTTCCGAAGGGGTAGAGGTCCTTGCAGGTTCCTCGGTTTCCTTCTTCTTTGAAGAAAACTTCGCATTGCTCTGGCCATCCATATCTCCACTAGATTTAGCATCTACCCTTGCCTTTTTGGAATGTGAGTGTTTCATAAAATCATCATCACTCTCATCTTCATTGTAACTTACATGCTGCCTATTCCTAGAAGACCTTCTCGGATTCTGCCCATTCACCCCCACAAAACCATCGGCTGGCAAACCCTCCGCAACCTCTTCAGAGTCGGTACTGTCAGCGTCACTTTCACTAGATTCAACAACCAACCTTGACCTTCTTCTGCTCTTAGCAGTTGCAGCATTGGGTTTTTCATGTTGAGCTTGCTTACTCACTTCTTCTTGCTTAGGCCCTACTTCTGGTTCTTTCCCTGATGCACTCCCCGCTTCTGCTTGTTTCATCGACCCAGATGTTGTTCCCTGAAAAAAACTAGAGGTACCAAATGGGGCGATATTTTCGGGGGGAGCACCTGCTTGACCCGCCATCCCTTTAGCAGAGAACACCCCAGATGGAACAAAGGGCTGGGGTCTCTCATTAGAAGGAACCGAGGCCTGGTTCCAAGCATGCCCTAGGTTAGCTGCCGGTGCGCCACCTTGCATGCCTATGTTATAAGCAATAAAAGTCTTAAAGCAACTTTGGCAACGGATGGGCCTATTCATGATATTCGAGTAATATTGGTACCTCACCCTACAATGGGGGCACAGAGTCCAGAAGGTACCTGTAACGTTAGCTGGAGCATTAGGCTGGGGCGGCCTGGTTAAACCTGAGAACTGTGGTCCAGTGTGATTCGGTACAAAATTGTTCTGTACACCACTTTGTTTCCTTGCATTAGATGCCCTAGCAGGAGCCTGAGGCTGCCTGCGAGGGGCAGGTTTAGGGTTTGACATATAAGCTCTTATCTTCATATCGTGTAGGGATCGCTTCCCCCTGTCAGAGAGCACCCTCATGGCCTCACCTATCAGCTTAAAAGCTGATTCAGCTCCCGAAAACTTGTTCTTATCAGGGTGAAGAAGAAGAGCGAGCTTTCGATACTGTTTCTTAATGAGGTTATCATCAGCTGTGTGCTCAACTTGGAGAATACCATACCAGTCAATCTCAGAACCCCCTACCTTTACTTCAGCAGAGCAATGGACTTCACAGACGCTTAGCATCTGAGGGAGATTCTCAAGGTCAGAGCAGAGCTGCTGTGCCTTGAGAATTATCTTCTTGGCACCCACAAAATCCTTTTTCTCCATCTTTTTCTCAGCAATTCCCTTGGCCCTAAGGGCCTCTTCCTTATTGCACTCCATCCTCTCTCTTCCAATTCAACCACTAACCATTAGAACCTCCCTCATACAGCACACCAGACATATGAAGACACCTCTTTCTTGATAACTAAAATGAAAATAGAGATAACCTTTCTTTTCTCCTGAAGTGGACCTGCTACAATATTTAAATGGCTCTGGCAAAACCGGGCAAAAAAAGTATAAACCCACTATGCTCCACTACCCATCTAACTAGTTCCATATCATAGGACCTCCTCGACTATCTTTAACTTATTTTTGTTCAACTGATGCCGTCTGACAACGTCTTCACTGCTTACAAAACACCCAAAACCTTATGTCAATTTGTGGGTGAAAAGAAGTCCTCAAAAAGATAATTGATGATAACCCCTGCCATACAGCAAACAAATGTGACCAAATCGTTAACAGATCTACAAGATACATCGCATGCACTATTATTCAACCCATAAAGTTTCAAAGAGAAGAAAGGCCAATATTTGTGAAAATATACGATCTTCTAGACAAAAGTCAAAAAGAAAAGCATAGAATTCGCACATAAGCAGATAACCACCCCAATTAGCTAAAAGGATCAAATGAAGTTTAAAAGAAACTAATCAATCTACAGCCCGTATTCCTGAAAACCACCTTCTGAATCCATTATTAGTTTACAAACTTTATAGTGCATCTGATTCTTTTGATGACTTATGTGCAATCCATTTTTAGTGAACTTCAATGGAGTGCACGAGATAATTCCATCAAATAATATAGATAAATTATAGTGTAGTAAAGCAAGAAATAGACTAGCTCCACGACAACCAAGCTCATGATAAATCAGCATTTCCCTTGAATGAAAAATTTCAATTAGGAATTTTAACAGAAAATTCAGAAAGAATATACTTCAAAAACTGAACAACCCGAACCTCCTGAAAGGGAATAAAACGTTAAATACATTCAAAATTGTCCTTGCCATTAAAAATTGACATAAATGTCTTCAATACAACCAATTTTTCCCACATTAAGAATCTCCTGGTTGAATAAGCTCCTGCACTCTTCTGAGGATCAAATAAAAACCAAAATTTTGATTAAACATGCAACTTCCAGTTAACTAAGACCCGGCTACATGTTGAAATTCCAGTATCATAAATAACTCCTAAAGTACAACAATGAAAACCATATCAAGGCCAAGCAAGGAACGACCAAGGGCAATGTTCAAAATTAAACCTCACGCAGTAGAAGATAGTCACGACAGCGCAAGCAAATAATAACAATAATGATGATGATCATCATCATCACCATCATCATTATTACTGTTATTATTACTAGAACTGCTACTACTATTAACTATATTACTATAAACAATAAAATATAAAAGCTGAATACTAGTGTAGAATATGCACAATTGTTTGAAACAGATTTCTGATACTTGAAATACTCAAAACCTTTTCTTGTCATTCAGGAAGGAAGAAAATTGAAAGTCCTAAAGTAAACCATATATCCACCAATTTAACCACGCCAGCTTAGGAAATCATAACCCTAAAGCATCCAATAAATGAATCAAGATTCTGTAACCATCTAACAAAATTAATTTTTAAAAAACTTTGGAGCGGAGTTAAGTTCACCTGAGAAAAGGGTCTAAGTTCACTTGAAAATTATAATATAGATACAGAAGGTCTATGTAAATGTAACAAAAAAAAAGACGCTAATTGCTCATGGTAGTAAACATAATGGAATGCCTGTTTTATTCTTAAAAAAAAACAAAAACAATAATAATCAACTCCCCCCCACCCCCCCCCCCGCCCAACTAAACCCTAAATTTTAAAAATTGCAACAGTAAAAGTTGAAAAGGCCATTATTAAAACCGCCAACTTCAAAAATGCAGCGGATCAAAACTACTTCCAGATGTCAAAGAGGAATTAGTACTTAAGCAAGTAGTTGATTTCATGAGAGTTTCTCATCAACCATAATCCACTTTGCAAAACAATGAAAATGAAAACACCCCCAAAATAACAATAAACCCTAGTTTCATTTACCAGGAATAAGGAAATAAAAGAAAGACGTAAAGACAATGAGAGAGAAGGAAAAGGGGAGAGAGAGAGCGAGGAGTAGATAGAGAGAGAGCACAACAAAACAAAATCTTACGAAATACGAGAAGAGTAAATCAAACAGGGCATTACCACGGAAATTACACCAATGCATTTCCCTGCAGCTTAAAAACCACACCCACAGAAAAAAAATAACAAACTAAAAAATCAGAACCCAGCCAAATCAAAATACTAAGACCTCAACATTCCAAAAACCAACACAAACTAAAAAAAAAAAACACTCGTCACTTTTCAAATTATCAGAACTCCCCCAAAAACCTTAATCCTAGAGTACTCATCAAACCACGAAAGAACACTCGGAAAGCATAAAACACAACAATTGTCCTAGAGAGAGAAACAGGAAATGGGTTTGATTTGGCACTTACTTGTGTGCTTGCAGAGCAACTAGAGGTAGAGGTAGATATAGAGAGAGAAAAGGCACTCCATTGTGTGCATGTTCTAGAGAGAGAAAGTGAGCGGGAGTGTGTCGTCTGAGAAGGGCTTCATGCGAAACCCTCGTCTGGAATGAAGAAACCACTCAGCGGGAACCAAAAGAGAGAAAAGGCGCCCCCCCAAAAAAAGTGAATCACCCCTAATTATTTCAATTCTCGTTAGTTAAACCTTTGGGTTCGATATTTATGCCGATCATTGACTGAAATGCCCTTGATTATTTATTAAAATAGCTCGGTATACCCTCTGAGTTACATTAAAATGACGAAAATGTTTGAATCTAGGGAGCTAGCAATAGGCATGGTCGCGTGTTTTCTTTGAGTCTTTTAGGCCGTCATCGCAACCCGACCGGTCTAGCCCTACTTGGTTCAGGTCACACCCTTCTACCCGGATGGGCTGACACAAGAGGGATTTAGGCTGGGATTGGGCTTGGGCAGAGCAAGCCCAAGCCCACTGGCTGTCAGAGGTGTGTCCATTGAAATTTTGGGAACCATTGACAAACACAGTGTTCGACTGCACAAATGGTCTCGAAATCCTGCCATGGGCCAATGGCTGGTCCCCATTTGGTTGACTCGCCCGGTTTTGTAAACAGTTAATTGGACTGGCCATCAGCTAGTATGAGATTTGGATGAGTCAAAATTTTTCTCAATTAGTCACATTAGGTGAACTAGATTTTAGAAAAATAAGAAAAATGGTCTTTCATTTTTTAACTCCCTATAAAATATTGTAGAGTGCATTTAGAAATGAGTGTGACCTATTAAAATTATTGTAGTTGCCTCTTTAATTATCCAATGTTCTTCAAATGAGTAAGGATATTTTTGTTATTAAAAATGATATTGTTGATATTTCAAGGATAATTATGAAGTAAAATTATAAATATTTAATTAATATAAATACTTTTGTCTTTTAGTGAAATTTCAAATATACCCTTTTTAAAATGACAAATGTGTACAAACATTGGCGGATGCCGTCACCGAAGAGGCCAGGGCTCGAGGCCGCCTAGCCAGGCGCCTCGATGCCGGGTAGCCCCAAGGGAAGAGGGTTGGGTAGGGGCCATACGTTGTTTTGTTGTGGGTGTTTTGTGAATGTGTGTATTTGCATACGCAGATACGTGTGCTCATAGGTCCCGCAAGAAACTCTTAATGTAATCCTTTTTTTTTTTTTTCCTTTTGGATCTGTATTTGTGAGAAAGATATATCTTAAACACTTTTAAGACAATGAGTGGGATGAACCTCGCATCGAACACTTGGAGGTCATTTTCTTCTTTTTGTGCTTCTTACATGTAAAGAGAGAGCATATGGGTCCATATGTATCTCTGTGTGTGCATGTGTGTGTGGGAGAGAGAGGGGGGAGGCCACGCGTCGAACACTTGGAGTCCATCTTCGTCCTCTTCTTCTCATATATAAAGGGAGCACATGGACCCGAGAGAGAGAGAGAGAGAGAGAGAAAGAAGGGCAATATTAGGATTTATATTTGTTTGGGTCGAATTATTTTTTTTCTTCTTTTTTTTAAGGATGGCACTAGGTGGCCAAACCTAGGTGCCCACCTCAGTCAATGCCCACCAAGACCGCACTGCCTAGGCAGTTTGTCGGCCAGGGCGCCTAGACGGTTTGTTGGCCAGGGCGCCTAGGCAGTTTGTCAGCCATGCCGCCTAGGCAGCAAGGTGGCCGAATTTTCGCTCATTGCTAATAATAATAAAAAGTAATACTTACTTATTTTATAGTGATATAATAAATAAAGGGTGCAGTTTTTATAAGGTTGCAACCTTAAACAATCTAGTTAAGGCGCACCTTAAAATTTTACTATAACATGTAATTTTGTTATAAAAAATACTTAGTATTATCTTAAAATCTATTTTCATACCTAATTAGAAAATTTTAAATTTAAAAAATGGTTAAAATCAAGTAGATCTATATATATATATGAAAATCTTGAAAATTGACGGTCTAGAGAATGTGCTGCAAGATGTACTATTTTCGGGATTCAAGAACCTTTTTTTTCATATTAATGCATCTCAATATCGAGATGATCAATTAGAATGTTTTTTCAACACTAAAACAACATTTCCGATAGATTTTTGAGATCCATATATGATTCTACATTTTAATGTTGCAACCTTATATAAACTTTCCCATAAATAAATGACAACCAAGTAAGTTTGGCCGTTTATGCTCCTTTTTACATGTAACATATAAGATTTGGTCGAAATGTTAACATCAAAAAGACCCCGACAAAAAGGAACATAAAATATATGCCCAACATTTCGATCAAAAATAGCTAATTTGACTTGTTAAAATTGATCAAACACTAATTTTTACCACTTTAAAAATCATTTTACTTTATTTTAGTTATAAAACCAATATAGCAACGCATTAATCAACCATTGTACTGACCAATGCGGTCCTGTCCGGTCCGGTGCACTCTCGGTAATCATAGCCACGTGGCTTTGCCCATGTAGTCGGTAGTAATTATGGTTTTGCCCTTACTTTTAGTGAAGGGTGAATTGTGTCCACCTGTGCTTATCGCTCTCTCTTATGTCCGAAGTTTTAATTTGGAGTTTAATGTTTTACTAAACAAATTGGCATTTTGGGATGAAATATCACTATAAATAGTAGCATTAATAGTGATCACAATGATGGTAAATGCTTTGACTTGTTTTTGGTTATGGTGCGTTTGGAACAAGGAATTTTAGTTGGATTTTCAAATTTGGGAATAGGCTGCTAACTTGGAAAATAAAAGGTAATTGGATTTTCAAAATTCTTTCTACCAAACAGTGAACATACAATGTAGCTAGACAATGTGCCTTTCAATTATGGACCCGAGCCACATACTCACATGTAGAAATGCGAGCCCTTTAATAATTTTTTTTTTAAATAAAATTTGATCTTAAATTTTAGAGAATATATAATCTTAAACATAGAGATTATTACTCTGTAAACATAAATACGTTTTAAAAACTATAAATGATATTTTTCGAATAAAATATTTGAACAGTTGATTTTACTTTTTATTTGGAGGACTATTACTTAGGGGACTTTGTTTTGGCAGAAGGTGTAAATCTCGGGCCCGCATAGTAATATGTGCGGGCTTGGCTGCACCAAACAATTTTCCTTCAATTCTTTTTTTAGGGAGGTTTATATGAGGTGCACTCCTTATACTATAGAAATAAAGTGTACCTCAAAACTATATAAAAAATGCACTTTTGGTGCCGCTAAGCCTTGCGATGATATGAAAATCTATTGTTTCCCCCAAATAGTGATGATCAAGCAAATCTATAAGCAATTGCAAATCTTAAAAATTGACCGTCCTGATAATGTGTTATAAGAATAACTATTTATAGAACTAGAAATCCCCCTTTTCTTCTTTCTTTTGTTTATTTCTATGAATCTTGAGGGTTTTCCAACATAGCAACAACCTTCTCTAATGAGTTTTTTAAGTGCACCTTACTCATACAATATATCGTTAATGCCTTATATAAACTTTTTCCTTTGGTAAGAGATGTAGCTTTGGTGTCGGAAATATTAGAATGGCTTGTGTAACAATCCTAAACTTTCAAAAAAAAAAAAAAGGGAAAATAAACTTTTAATAAGTGATGGTCTATATGAGCATGATGGTCCTTAGGGACCATCACTATTTTCAAAAGCTTTTGACTTAAGCTTTTATTATCTTATAACGTGGCTTGTAGTTTCTCCTACGTGTTGGCCCTTGACAATCCACTATGACGTGTAAGTAAATTAAATGTGCAACCTTCCTATGGTATAACCATGAAATGCGTCTTTTTAACTGAAACTTTTATCACTGAGCTTTTGTGCATACTGATTCCATAAGATCTACTGTAAACGGGCGGCCTTTTAGTGCCCCAACCAACATACACAAAAAGCATCAATTTCGTGAGTGATTATAAGTAAGTGACATCGTCTTCCTGAAAAATAGTATGTTTTTAATAAATAGTGATATTTCCGTCCAGGATCTTTATTTTATAAGTTTTGTGTGTAAGTGACATCGTCTTCCTGAAAAATAGTCTGTTTTTAATAAATAGTGATATTTCCGTCCAGGATCTTTATTTTATAAGTTTTGTAAGTGACATCGTCTTCCTGAAAAATAGTATGTTTTTAATAAATAGTGATATTTCAGTCTAGGATCTTTATTTTATAAGTTTTGTGTGTATTGTCTAGAAAAATAATCCATTCTTTTTAAAAATAAAATGAAATAATTATTTTTGCTTATTATCATGAATTTTAGGCGCGATAAATTTTATGCGCACGTGACCTCATTATCTTGAAATATAATTTTTTTAATAAAAATTGTGATATTTTATCTATGTTATAAATTTTGAATGCTATAAATTAGAAAAATAAATTTATTTATTTTTCTTGTCTATTGTTAGAAATAAATGTGATATTTCTGCTTTTAGTAAAATTGTGATATTTCTTTCTACTGTTTTGAATATTTAGACATTGTAAAATTCATGTGCAAATGACTGCCTTATTATTTAAAAATTGACATTTTTTAAATTGATTATAGTATTGTCGTGAAATGTTTATTTGTGGATTGATATCCCATAAATTGTGATAATTCTGTATTCTTGAATTTCTATAAGATTTTTTCTATACATATTAAATTGGCAATTACGCTAGAATGCCTTTACAAACTGCTACCTTTCTAAATTTGAGCCCAAAATATTTGATTGGTTATTTTTTAAATGTTATAGAGAGTGACTGTTAATAATGGTTTAAGTGAAATTCATATTAATGATTTCAGTGATATGTTGAGTACATGATATTGCTGCTTTCGAATGTTTAAAGAGATTTAGAAATAATTTAAGTATGCAAGTGGACTCATCCGGTTCGCCGGTGAGGTATAAGTGAACCTATCTGGGACGCCGGTAGGGATTAAGTGGACTCATCCGGTACGCCGATGAGGTATAAGTGGACCTCCAGGGATCAAGTGGACCTATCTGGGACGCCGATAGGGATTAAGTGGACCCATCGGGACGCTGAT